GTGATGGATTCATTATGAATGAATCTTAGAGATGCACATTGTATCTATTATGAATATGTAAGATACATTAGTCTTATCTAATGAATTCATTAAATATAAAAGATGCATTATGTATCATGAATGTATAAGATACATTAATCTATTTAATGAAGTTCATTGAATGAATGGTTCTTTGATGGGAAGAATATTAGTATAAATAGTGTAAGGTCCCAAACCATACTCTCCATCAAAAAAAACTTAAGTTGTCACCACATGAAGGCTCCCATCGCCTAGAGAGAGAGAAGTGGTTTGAAGATCTTAGACAAGTCAAGAACTTAAAGATCAAGATCTTCCATTCAAAATTTCTCTTTCTTAAAAGAGGATTTCATACCAAATAGATCAAGGTATGTATTCACTTATTTTGTATATTAGAAATTCATATAGTTTTCATGTATGGAATTGAATCCTTATGGTTTTTAGTTTATGTTCTGCAAAGTTTTCTATCAGCAAGAAACTCCTGTTGGGGGTGAGTGTATGCTCTAGAACCATGATTCCGCGATTCAGTGTAAGAATATTGTTGAGATAGAATTGAGGTTCAGACTAGGATAGGACCACTCAAACATTTCAAGGAAATAAAAAAAGGATGGGCATTTTTTGATGGAATTTTCAATTTTGGTTTGCAAGGGTTGAGGAGTAAAGATATATGTTGTTGGTGTTAAATTGCTACTTGTGCAATGATTATAATGAGTATTTACTGTACTTATATTTAACAGTTGAAGTGCTAGTATAATGTAGACATTTTTTTTGGGTTGATAAATTAGTATAATGTAGACATTTAACACATTACAACTAAGCAACAAAAATATTTCTTATTAAATATTTATTTATAAAATATGTAAATGCTCTCTTAGGCGCATCCAATCTTAGACTCTTCTATGCCCCTGCTTCGTGCAACTAAGGCCTCGTTTGGCAAGTGTATTTTTTAGTCAAAAAGTCACTAAAAAAATCAAAAAGCCAACAACCCATATCAAAAAGTTAAAGATTCTCTTTTCTCTCTACTTTTTGCACATCTTTTCGTAAAAAGTCAAAAAATCATCCCAAACATACTAATTTTTTTTAGCTCATATTTTAGCCAAATAGCCAAAAAATTACTAAATTAACATGTTCCCAAACGAGACCTAAGTTTAAAATTGGTAGGAAGCAGAACCAAAGTTTAAAATAGGTTGTCATTTTTGATATATATGAAACCAAACAAAAACAAACAATTGACACCCCCAAGCCCCCGATGCTTTGTTTAGTCCAATTTGAACAAAGACATATGTTGGTTGGGTTAAGTAATCAAAGTACAAAATTAAAACCACAATTAAGACTATATCAATTATTGACATCACTTCACTGTAAGGTGTGTATGATTTATTTATTTCTTTATCCTTTTTGCTAGGCAAGATAAGGGAACTTGAGCCCCTAACATAAATGTTGAGAGACCCATTGGTACCATGTGGCCTGTATAGCTGGTGTAATGTGAATGTGAATTGGTGAACGGTTGAAGGTTTATTTAGTCATTATACAAATATTTTAACACTTGCATAGGAACAATTATAAAACAAAAAAGGACAGACGCAATCAATGGAACATACTTGAGAGGGTAATTTATATGAAAATTGGGCCGAGCTAGGTAAATGGGCTGTTATGGGCTGCGGTACGAAGGGCCGAGTAGAATGGCCGTATAAGTTACTCCGGTCTTGTGAATGTTTTGGAGTTAGTCCGGTCCAAAAGAAGATTGAAGTTACTGGCCTAGAGATGCTTTGGAGCTAGACCGGTCCTAGAGTTGAACCGGTCTTGACATGTTAGTTCGGTCTAACTGTACCATGAGTTGTACATGAGAAGCCGAAGTAAGGAGTAAAGGGAAGAACCGAACTAAGTATAGTCCGGCCTACTCTGCGACTCAACATAGCCAAGATTGCTTCGGTCATAATGGAGTTCGGCCGTGGTAATAACCATCTCACTTGGTTTAAGCAGTGAGGGGGGTGTTGGAGGATAAGGATTATCCTTCAGGAGGTTAAATCCTAGGAGGACTCTATGTGGAGGAATAAAAGTCCTACTAGGATTGTGCCACGCGAAACCTATAAAAGCTTACAAACATCACCTTGGGAGAGGTAACACACAACTTTGCTTTCTGAATTCGCAGAGCTTTGTCTATTTGTCAAGTTTGCTGACTTAGGCATCGGAGAGGTTTTCGGCACACACCCGCCGGCTAGCTCACGTTTGTGTTTTCAGGTGATAAGGCGACGTTGTACGGAGGAGCACAGACTTGGTCAACAGGATTATACGAGAAGGTTTATTTCTTTCCCGTACAATACTGTTGGATGATTGGGGCTTTTTTTTTTCTTTTCTTTTCTATTTGAGCACTTTGGTCTTCATATTTGTATGATTCACGTAACCTGTCTGGAATTTCCCCATTGTACCAGAAAATGTCTGGACAAGCTAGATTCTCTATTATTATATTTATTAGGCAATTCTATGAAGTACTTATGCTCTCTCGGATGAAAGCACAATCAAGTTGTTGGAAAAAAAAAATAGTTTAATATAGACATATTTTCTTAGTCCAAGTTGAGTGAGCCCCAAACGTCTTTTGGGGTGGGTCCGAAGAGGTGACGTGTTCCTTACCGCGTGGCAAGTCACACGGTGAAGACGGAACGTCAAAATCATTTATGAGTGAATGGGAAGTTAACGTCGTTTTCGGGTCTAATATTAATTTTTTAGATAAAATTCATTTGAATTTTTTAATAAAAATTATTGTGGGAATTTAATTTAATTCTGAATTCAAATTTTGGATTCCTAAGTGGTTTCCTAAAATTTGTAATTGTAGGAATTTAATTTAATTCTAAATTCAAATTTTAGGTTTCTAAGAAGTTTCCTAAAGTTTGTACCTCTTTATTTATTTATTTAACTATTTCAATAGTTTAATATATGTACACCTGAGCAAAATGGTGTAGCTGAGTGACGAAATCGTACTCTTTTGGACATGATGAGAACTGTCAAATTCCATTCATGTGGGGGATTGTTGAAAAAATGGTTTAATATAGGCATATTTTTTAGCCCAAGTTGAGTGGGCCCCAAACGTCTTTTGGGGTGGGTCCAAAGAGGTGACGTGTTCCTTGCCGTGTGGCAAGTCACACGGTGAAGATGGAACGTCAAAACCATTTATGAGTGAATGGGAAGTTGACGTCATTTTCGGGTCTAACATTAATTTTTTAGATAAAATTCATTTGAATTTTTTAATAAAAATTATTGTGGAAATTTAATTTAATTCTGAATTCAAATTTTGGATTCCTAAGTGGTTTCCTAAAATTTGTAATTGTGAAAATTTAATTTAATTCTAAATTCAAATTTTAGGTTTCTAAGAAGTTTCCTAAAGTTTGTACCTCTTTATTTATTTATTTAACTATTTCAATAGTTTAATATATATATATATATATTCAATTAGTTTAATATATATATATATATATATTTGAGATAGTTTAAATAAATAATGCTTCAACAGGTTTATTGAGTTCTAACGGGTTTGACTTGGTCCATTATTGGATCACTTTTCATTGTTCGAATAATATATTCAAAAGTGCAACGGTCAAGAAGCTTGCTTGAAATTCAACAGTTGCATTTGTTCTTTCAAAGGACGAACCTGTTCGGACCACAGTTTTTTGTTTATATATATAATCAATTCCAGCAGTTTGGAAAATCCAATTTCCTATCCGAAAACAGTCTGAAATTAATGTCTTGCTGTCCAAACTATTTTTGTTTGCATTATTCTACATTCTAGTTTTAGAATTAAATAAAGAGAGTATTAGAACACAGGTTTGGTTCGCCGAACAAATTTATTTGAAGTGTTTCTACAAATTTGTGAAGATCATTGTATCTTGGGAGATAGACGCCACTCAACTGTAAGCACCGTAGCGAGCGAATCTGTCTTAAGGACAGAGTGTCACACACTCGACTTGGTCTTAATTTTAATTCGGTTCGATAAATAAATTCGGTATGTTATTTATTTATTTTGTTTAAATAAGTTTCAATTTATTTTATTTATACAGAAGATTGTTCCAACATAATTGCCCGTAACTAACAATTCTAATTCTATTAAATTTGATATGTCACTTAAATATTTGAATATTTCGAATATGATCTTGTTCATCTACATGATACGATAATTATTAACTAAAATAATAAGATCCACCATTTTAAATGAGTGCACACTACTATTTTAGCCATATTGTTCATTCACATGTCTAGTGGGAACAAAATGATTTTCAGTCATTCTCAATAGTGGTGCAATCACCATTAGTGTGTTCTACAATGACAGAAAATTCTAAATACACATAATTTATTTATAGAATCTATCATAATCTTCTTATATGGTCATAAAATGATTTCACCATATATAAGATAATTGTATTCAATTTTGTAATCGATTTATGATTAATGGCCAAGTCTATTAATTAATATTTGAGAGCCTTAGATTAAAATATAAATTTTAAATTAAAAAAAAACCCGAATAATTCTGATATTCATGGGTTTACATCAAGTAGTTAGTTATTAGTTAGTGTATCATTCCAATGAAGAAGCATCGGAATGAGACTCAGGTCTTTTTCACTCAATAATGGTGACCAAACCACCCAGTGACTACTTTTTTTTGCATCATCAATAATTGGCATAGAATCATTCATCTCAAAAAATAGAGATTATTTCATTTTTATTCCTATATTTTGTCACGATTTTCAATGACCCCCCAGACTATTTTTATTTTCACGCGTACTCCTATACTATTTAAGTTCCTATCAATTTTTCCTCTGTTGTCAGATTTGAAAATTAGATTTTACTTAATAAAAAATTAAAAATAATTTGTCCACTTGTTCTATATTTTATTCATGGTCTTATTGCTATTATTTCTTTTCATATAGAATTTAAGTTTCATCTAGATTATGTATAATTAATGCAGTGTTCTATTTGTCGAATATTTACTACAGCCTGAACAATTGAACAAGATATTTGAGCTGTGTGGATCTCCAGATGAGATTATTTGGCCTGGGGTTTCCAAGATTCCCTGGTATAACAAGTTCAAGCCAACAAGGCCGATGAAGAGGCGAGTGAGGGAGGTTTTTAGACAGTAAGTATACAAATTGAAGTTGTTAGTTAGACTTGGATTTTTTGGTGTCCATTTTAGTGCAAGAAGTTTGATATCCATAATTCTTATATTGCTTTGCAGTTTTGACCGTCATGCGCTGGATTTACTAGAGAAAATGCTAACCCTTGATCCATCTCAGGTACACATAAATCTCAGGCTAAGTGAACTTGTTATTATAGACTATCAGACACTTCACAGCCATAGCATTTTTATTTAGGTGTGCCAGTGAACACAATTATGCGATAATGTGATGTACCAAAATTTGTTTGTTTGTTTTAGGTCAAGCAACAGGGAGTGGAAGGATTTTAGTTTGTCTATAAATTTCAGACTAAAATGACTAGTTTATTGACAAACTAAATGATGATTTTTTTTACTTCATTAGTTTGGAGAAACTGACACTACAATGTCAATAAAATGACTTTATTAGTTTGGAAAATGACAATATAAATCTGAGTTTTGACTTATTGCAGAAAGGGTGTGGAGAAAATGCTAACCCTTTATTAGTTGTTATAGGTCTACCAAAATTCAATCTTTTAACAAATAAAACCGAGATCCATTTTTTGACTGACTTTGTGATTAAGTACATTAAATATATTATAAATAGTGTAAGGTCCCAAACCATACTCTCCATCAAAAAACTTAAGTTGTCACCACATGAAGGCTCCCATCGCCTAGAGAGAGAGAAGTGGTTTGAAGATCTTAGACAAGTCAAGAACTTAAAGATCAAGATCTTCCATTCAAGATTTCTCTTTCTTAAAAGAGGATTTCATACCAAATGGATCAAGGTATGTATTCACTTATTTTGTATATTAGAAATTCATATAGTTTTCATGTATGGAATTGAATCCTTAATGGTTTTTAGTTTATGTTCCGCAAAGTTTTCTATCAGCAAGAAACTCCTGTTGGGGGTGAGTTTATGCTCTAGAACCATGATTCCGCGATTCAGTGTAAGAATATTGTTGAGATAGAATTGAGGTTCAGACTAGGATAGGACCACTCAAACATTTCAAGGAAATAAAAAAAGGATGGGCATTTTTTGATGGAATTTTCAATTTTGGTTTGCAAGGGTTGAGGAGTAAAGATATATGTTGTTGGTGTTAAATTGCTACTTGTGCAATGATTATAATGAGTATTTACTGTACTTATATTTAACAGTTGAAGTGCTAGTATAATGTAGACATTTTTTTTGGGTTGATAAATTAGTATAATGTAGACATTTAACACATTACAACTAAGCAACAAAAATATTTCTTATTAAACATTTATTTATAAAATATGTAAATGCTCTCTTAGGCGCATCCAATCTTAGACTCTTCTATGCCCCTGCTTCGTGTAAGGCCTCGTTTGGCAAGTGTATTTTTTAGTCAAAAAGTCACTAAAAAAATTAAAAAGCCAACAACCCATATCAAAAAGTCAAAGATTCTCTTTTCTCTCTACTTTTTGCACATCTTTTCGTAAAAAGTCAAAAAATCATCCCAAACATACTAATTTTTTTTAGCTCATATTTTAGCCAAATAGCCAAAAAATTACTAAATTAACATGTTCCCAAACGAGACCTAAGTTTCCATGTGGCCTGTACAGCTGTTGTAATGTGAATGTGAATTGGTGAACGGTTGAAGCTTTATTTAGTCATTATACAAATATTTTTGCACGTGCATAGGAACAATTATAAAATAAAAAAGGACAGACGCAATCAATGGAACATACTGTTGGATGATTGGGGCTTCTTTTTTTATTTTTATTTTTTTTCTTTCTAGTTGAGCACTTTGGTCTTCATATTTGTATGATTCACGGAACCTGTCTGGAATTTCCCCATTGTACCAGAAACTGTCTGGACAAGCTAGATTCTCTATTATTATATTTATTAGGCAATTCTATGAAGTACTTATGCTCTCTTGGATGAAAGCACAATCAAATAGACCTTGATTCTTTGCAATGGACTTATATATATGTATGTATATAAATTTGAATTCCCATTTGGAGAAGGAAAATACGGTTTATTCCTCTTGGATGATTTCAATTTTGAACCTAGTGTTGGTTACATTCGTCTCCTTAAGATAACAACCAACTGTTATCAAATTCTATGATCTATTTTTGCTTGGACTACTCTTGGGTTTCATGAGAGTGAACATTTATGTTGTTGTATGTAAATCAATAAATTGTTATTCGGCTCCTTTCTTTTTACCTGGAAAGAATCAATTCCCTTTGGTAGGTGTATGAGGAACCTTTGAAGGATGACAAAATTTCCAAGGGTTTTTCCATGCCCCATTGCTATTATGCCTAATTGCTACGACTGGCCAGAGAGTTCTTCTTGACAGAGAAAGGATTAGCTAGTTGCTTTGAAATGAAGGCATATCAAACAAAGTTGGGCTTTGGAAGGACCAGGAGGATCACTATTTTTTTGCGAGTATAATTTGGGGAAATGACGCTTCATTGTAAAATCCTTCTGAGCTTATAATTTAATAATTGAGGTGGCTTGCAGAATCTGAAAATAGTCTGATTCCAAAATCCCATCAAAACACATTCATCCCGAATCATCTAATTAATGACACATTTTTATATGCAGTTGAGGATCACGATGGTTTCATCTGTGTGTCTTCAGGGATTGTTGATTTTTGGTAGCTTATGGATTGCTTTGGTGACTGCATTTTGCAATTCTGTTTCCAAAAACTCGATTAGAAAGGCCATGAACATATAAGCACAGATTATCAGATTTGGTGCAGTTCTATGTATATATTTTTCATTTTTGTTCTACCACTTTCAATTCCTTGAATTTTTTTTTTCCTTCTGCCTTTTTCCATTTCATGCAGAGAATATCTGCAAAGGATGCCCTTGATGCTGAATATTTTTGGACTGACCCCTTACCTTGCGATCCTAGAAGGTATGTCTCACATCTTTCTTCTTAGCTATGCTGCATGAATTTTACTTACTGATTCATTGTACTAAGGAAAAGATTTGGTAATAATCATATACCTTCAACGAGACTTGGAAAATTCAGTGTGCCAAACCTTCTGCATTTCATATGTTTACACATCAAATTGAGGTTTCCTGAAGCCTCTCTATTAATATTTTGACTGATCTCTGCTTGTCAAATAAAGGTGTCTCGGTTTTGTTTATATTAAATTAATCTTTCCTGTTCTTTGATTGCATAGTTTGCCTAAATATGAATCATCACACGAGTTCCAGACAAAGAAAAAAAGGCAACAGCAGCGACAAAATGAAGAGATGGCAAAGAGACAGAAATTGCAGCACCCACAACAACATGCTCGTCTGCCTCCAATCCAACAAACAGGGCAAACTCATCCTCAGCATTGGTCCGGGCCTAATCCCATGAACAATTCCCAGGCTCCAGTGTCAGCTGGACCTAGTCACCACCACTACGGAAAGCCTCGTGGTCCTCCCGGAGGGCCAAATAGGTACCCTCCTAGCGGTAATCCTAGTGGTGGGTATTATCCTGATCGTGGGGGTCAAGGGGGAGGTTACAGCAGCGGATCGTATCCACCACAGGGGCGAGGACCTCCATATCCTGGAAGCGGTGTCCCTGCAACTGGTGGTCCCCGAGGAGCCCCTCCTAGTGGTTATGGAGTTGGTGCACCTAACTACTCCCAGGGCGGTCAATATGGAGGTTCTGTTGCGGGTAGAGGTCAAAACCCAATGGGCGGTAATCGTAATCAGCAGTATGGTTGGCAGCAATAAGTGAAATAATTGCAAGTTGGAAGATACACAGACTGAATAGCAATGATTTACAAGAGTTTTTACAGTGTCAGATTTAGGAACTTTGAATCTAGAAATGTACAGGTGCTTTTGTGTCGTGCCTTGTTTATTTGTGAAACTGATTTAGAAATGGTAGGGAAATTTAGAGATGACAATGATTTGTAGCTTTGGTTTCTAGGAAGCAGTTATGTTTGTTTGCTTGCTTTTGCTTAATGATAGAGAAGGGAATGGTGGATTTGTAGTTTGAGTTTGTGGATTATGCTCGTTCAAAAAAAAAAAAGTTTGTGGATTATGCTTTGCATCCTTGTCCAGCTGTGGCTCAGGAACACAAGTTTTCTGAGGAGAGCAACATCTTGTGAATGAAAGTGGTTACTAGATGGTTTGGCACTACCTCAAAAAAGTCAAAAAAAAAATTATTAAAAAAATTAAAAAATTATCACTATTCACAAATTAAAAATATAAAAAAATTAATTTACAAAAAAAAAAAAATAAAAAAAAATAAAAAAATATCACCATTCACAAAAAAAAAAAAAAAAAAAAAAAAAAAATAATAATAATAATAATTTTACAATAAAAAAAGTACAACTCACATGTCATGTGAGTTGTACTTTAGTTGCCCCCCATTTGTATGAAGGGAACAAGCGGAGAAGCAAACAAGACGGTGTTGTTCGGCTCGTAGGGGTCCATCACTGGTCCTGTTTTGATAATCTGAATCGTTCAATGTTGAGAAATCGTCGAGTATCGGATATCGCCAACTATATGATCAAATCAGTTTTGTATAAAAAATAGATGGTGTTATAGTTAGCGGTTGACAAAAAATTAATCCGATCAGATAGCTATCGATGTCCGAACAATATGATTTTTTACAAGCATATAGTACTCGACGAGTTCTATATATTGAACTGTTCTGATTAGCAAAACAGGATCCGTGGTGGGCCCCCATGGGCCAAACAACACCGTCAAATTCAATACCCAATAAGGAAGCATCCATTTTCTATACACTACTCTGCACACGTTGCCAGCTAGGACATCTACCGAATTGCCTATTCTATCTTAAATTTTTCCTATACACTAATTTATACAATTTTTTAATACATATTTTTTTGTAAAAAGTCAAAAAATTATCCCAAACAATCATCTTTTTTTTCTCAACTTTTTAGTCTAAAAAGTCAAAAAGTGCATCTCAAACAACCAAGGATGTTGCAACCACTGTTTTCTTAGGTGGCTGTCATTTTAACCTTTTGATAAATGACTTTACAGTGTAGACCAATCTGCAGAAGTTCACCTGGATTTGGGATAAGGTTAGTTGAGATCTTGGGTGGAATCTCACCCAAAACTTGATTATAAATGGTCTGAGTTTGTCAAATTGTGTTGATTTATGGATTGACAGAAAAAAAAATTGTGGATTATTTGTTCAAACAGAAAAACATTCCAAAAAAAATATTATATCATATTATGAATCTCATGCTAATTATAGCCTTGTTTACTGTCGTGAAGGAGCAAATAATATCAAAATAGTTATAATTTTAGTGCACATTTTACATGTTCTTATACATTTAACACATTTCTATACACTTCTACATATATATATATATGTGTGTGTGTGTAAGATGAGAGTGTTGATTAGGGTTTGAGAATTTAATTGGATGAGAGGGAGAGTAAAGGGGTTCGTTAACGCCATGTTTGTTTACTGGCGTAGGAGAGGAGATTGGAGTGCTATCACACCCATAGCTTGTTTAGTAATGATTTGGGAGGGAGGAGTAATAGTCCAAGCGGCTTAGTAATCCCCTCAGTAAGGGATTAGCTTAGTTGGATTTTGGATGGGATTAGAAAATAGTGAGCAGATTGAGTTTATCTTATATAAAAAATTTATTTATTTATTTATTTTTTTTTTACCAAGTGCACCTATTTATTTTAATATTTGTTTTCTGTTTTTTTTTTAATATAGAAATAATTTATTTATTTATTTAAATTTGTGAAGATCATTGTATCCTGGGAGATAGACGCCACTCAACCGTAAGTACCATAGCGGGGCGAATTTGTCTTAAAGACAGAGTGTCACACACTCGACTTGGTCTTAATTTTAATTCGGTTCGATAAATAAATCCGGTATGTTATTTATTTATTTTGTTTGAATTTATTTTAAGTTATTTTATTTACACAGAAGATTGTTCCAACACAAATAGACCTTGATTCTTTGCAATGAACTTATATATATGTATGTATATAAATTTGAATTCCCATTTGAAGAAGGAAAATACGGTTTATTCCTCTTGGATGATTTCAATTATGAACCTAGTGTTGGTTACATTCATCTCCTTAAGATAACAACCAACTTTTATCAAATTCTATGATCTATTTTTGCTTGGACTACTCTTGGGTTTCATGAGAGTGAACATTTATGTTGTTGTATCTAAATCAATAAATTGTTATTCGGCTCCTTTCTTTTTACCTGGAAAGAATCAATTCCCTTTGGTAGGTGTTTGAGGAACCTTTGAAGGATGACAAAATTTCCAAGGGTTTTTCCATGCCCCATTGCTACTATGCCTAATCTCTACAACTGGCTAGAGAGTTCTTCTTGACAGAGAAAGGATTAGCTAGTTGCTTTGAAATTAAGGCATATCAAACAAAGTTGGGCTTTGGAAGGACTAGGAGGATGATTATTTTTTTGCGAGTACAATTTGGGGAAATGATGCATTCCACTGCTTTATTGTAAAGCCCTTCTGAGCTTATAATTTAATAATTGAGGTGGCTTGCATAATCTGAAAATAGTCTGATTCCAATATCCCATCAAAACACATTCATCCTAAATCATCTAATTAATGACACATTTTTATATACAATTGAGGATCATGATGGTTTCATCTCTGTGTCTTTAGGGATTGTTGATTTTTGGTAGCTTATGGATTGTTTTGGTGACTGCATTTTGCATTTCTGTTTCCAAAAACTCGATTAGAAAGGCCATGAACATATAAGCACAGATTATCAGATTTGGTGCAGTTCTATGTATATATTTTTCATATTTGTTCTACAACTTTCAATTCCTTGAATTTTTTTTTTCCCTTTTCCCTTTTTCCATTTCACGCAGAGAATATCTGCAAAGGATGCCCTTGATGCTGAATATTTTTTGACTGACCCCTTGCCTTGCGATCCTAGAAGGTATGTCTCGCATCTTTCTTCTTAGCTATGCTGCATGAATTTTACTTACTGATTCATTGTACTAAGGAAAAGATTTGGTAATAATCATATACCTTCAACGAGACTTGGAAAATTCAGTCATAGTGTGCCAAACCTTCTGCATTTCATATGCTTACACCTCCAATTGAGGTTTCCTGAAGCCTCTCTATTAATATTTTGACTGATCTCCGCTTTTCAAATGAAGGTGTCTGAGTTTTGTTTATATTAAATTGAGTTTTGTTTATATTAAATTGATCTTTCTTGTTCTTTGATTGCATAGTTTGCCTAAATATGAATCATCACATGAGTTCCAGACAAAGAAAAAAAGGCAACAGCAACGACAAAACGAAGAGATGGCAAAGAGACAGAAATTGCAGCACCCACAACAACATGCTCGTCTACCTCCAATTGGCCTAATCCCATGAACAATTCCTAGGCTCTGGTGTCAGCTGGACCTAGTCATCACCACTACGGAAAGCCTCGTGGTCCTCCTGGAGGGCCAAATAGGTACCCTCCCAGCAGTAATCCTAGTGGTGGGTATTATCCTGATCGTGGGGGTCAAGGGGGAGGTTACAGCAGTGGATCGTATCCACCACAGGGGCGGGGACCTCCATATCCTGGAAGCGGTGTCCCTGCAACTGGCAGTTCCCGAGGAGCCCCTCCTAGTGGTTATGGAGTTGGTACACCTAATTACTCCCAGGGCGGTCAATATGGAGGTTCTGTTACGGGTAGAGGTCAAAACCCAATGGGCGGTAATCGAAATCAGCAGTATGGTTAGTAGCAATAAGTGTAAAATAATTGCAAGTTGGAACATACACAAACTAAATAGCAATGATTGAAAAGAGTTTTTACAGTGTCAAGTTCAGGAACTTTGAAACTAGAAATGTATAGGTGCTTTTGTGTCGTGCCTTGTTTATTTGTGAAATTGATTTAGAAATGGTAGGGAAATTTAGAGATGACAATGATTTGTAGCTTTGGTTTCTAGGAAGCAGTTATGTTTGATGGCTTGCTTTTGCTTAATGATAGAGAAGGGAATGCTGGATTTGTAGTTTTTGAGTTTGTGGATTATGCTTTGCATCCTTGTCCAGCTGTGTGGCTCAGGAACACAAGTTTTCTGATGAGAGCAACATCTTGTGAATGAAAGTGGTTCAGATTTGGACACTAAGGATGTTGCAACCACTGTTTTCTTAGGTAGCCGTCATTTTAATCTTTTGATAAATGGCTTTACGGTGTAGGCCAATCTGCAAAAGTTCACCTGGATTTGGGATAAGGTTAGTTGAGATCTGGGGTGGAATCTCACCCAAAACTTGATTATAAATGTTTTGAGTTTATCTCATTGCGTTGATTTATGGATTGACAGAAAAAAAAAAAATTGTGGATAATTTGTTCTGTATGCAAATTATATTTATTTAGATATTGTTTGGAATAAATTCCACCCAAGCTATGGAACTGTCATCCCACCCAAGCTTGTAATTTTCTAATTCTTTATTTAAATACAACTGTCATGTTAGTAGCTAAAAATAAAAATAAAATGGAAAAAAAAAACTTTTGGTTACTAAATATTTAGTAGCTAAAAATAAAAATAAACTAGAGAAAAACTTTTGGCTACTAAATATTTAGTAACTAGAATAAAAGCTGACTTTAGGCGACTAAGAATTTAGTAGCTAAAATAATAATAATAATAAAATAAGATGAAAAAAATATCCTTTGGTGACTAAAACTTTGGTTGCCGTAGATACTTCAAGTTTTGGCGACCAAAGTTTTAGTAATGGAAAATAAAATTTTTGGCGACTAAAAATATTAGTTGCCATTTATAGGACTTTTGGCGACTAAAATATTTTTTAGTCGCCAATACTTTCCCCGACAACCTTCGTGTGACCAATTTGGTAACCAAAATATTTAGTCGGGAAAATATTTCGGCGACTAAAAACCTTACTTTTGGCGACTAAAAATTTAGTTGCCAAAAGTGTAATTTCTTGTAGTGTCTTATCCTTTTAAAATAAAAACATTTCTTAACTAAACTCATGAAATTCAACTATTTAACTTTTATAGAAATTCAAATAAATTCATTTATAAATGATCAAATGTTAAATTGGTTAATTCAAATTGGTGTAA